ATTGTTTTAATTCCAAAGAATTCCTCTCCGACACAGGTTAGTCATTACCGACCTATTTCTTTGTGTAATGTGTTTTATCGGATTATTGCAAAAATTATAACTAACCGGTTGAGAGGGATTATTAGCTCCCTTATCAGTGATTCTCAAAGTGCATTTATTGCAGGTCATCATATGACGCATAATATTTTAATTACTCATGAAATTTTGCATTATCTCAAAAATAAGCAAAAGGGTAATAATGCATGGTTGGCGTTGAAACTTAACATGAGTAATGCTTATGATCGGATTGAGTGTGATTTTTTATTACACATACTGTCTCGTTTGGGGTTGAATGCTTATTGGATTCAAATGATCACTTCCTGCATCTCTACTGTTTCTTACTCTTTAAAGATTAATGGGAGTTCGGTGGGTTTTTTCAAACCGTCTAAGGGTTTGAGATAAGGCGATCCTCTATCGCCGTATTGATTTATTATCTGTGCTGAAGCTCTTTCTCTTTTGCGAGCTCAACAAGCTCAGTTATTATTTGGTATTCGTATTTGTCGGGGTGCTCCGTCTATTTTTCATCTTTTTTTTGCTGATGATTCTATTGTGTTTTGTGCTGCAGTTCCGGAGGAAGTTCTTCTTCTGAAACAAATTTTGGCAGATTATGAAAGGGCTTCTGGGCAACAAGTCAATTTTTCTAAATCTTCTATTTTTTTCTCAACTAAATTAACTAATGCCCCAGGTTTAGTATGTCGTTCTATTAGCCGATCCTTGGGTTTGCAAATGCAGGGGATGCATGGTCGGTATCTTGGTGTTCCCGCTATTTTGGGTCATTCCAAAAGAGATGTGTTTCAGTTTTTACTGATTAAAATTTAGGACAGGTTATCTTTTTGGAAGGCGAAGTCTTTGTCCATGGGTGGGAAAGAAGTATTAATTAAGGCCATTTTAAGTGTTTTACCTACGTATGTTATGTCTTCTTTTAAGCTTCCCACTACATTGTGTCAAGATTTGATGAAACATATTCGTTCCTTTTGGTAGTGTAATAAAGATAAAAATCGGGCAATTCATTGGCTTAATTGGGATTTTCTTTGCCGGAGCAAGAAGTCGGGTCGCCTTGGCTTTCGTGACTTGGAGGCTTTTAATTTAGTGCTTTTAGTGAAGCATGCTTGGCATTTTCAGGTTCAGAAGCAAGGTTTGTTGTATCAAATTTTTAAGGCTAAGTATTTTCCAGGCTCGTCCTTTTTGGATGCTTCTTTGGGCTCTAATCCTTCCTTGGGCTGGCGTAGTATTTGGTCTTCTCAAAATTTATTGAGGTATGGCTTATGCTCATTGATTGGGAATGGCACTTCAACGCATATTTGGGACGATTATTGGGTCCTTACGTTTGCACGGAAATTTTCCCCAACTCAGGCTTTTGTTCCATACTCTTATGCGGCGGAGTTGATTGATTCTGATACGTCTTCATGGAAAGTGGATGTTTTGTCTCAATTATTTCCTCCTTTTATGATGCAGGAAATTCTTAAAATTCACAAAAGTCGTTGGGATAAACCACATGTAGTCATTTGGGCTCCGGAGCTGTCGGGTAAATTTTCAGTGCGGTCTGCTTATAAATTGGCTGTTTCAATGTCTCATTTTTCTGGGATTCCATTTCATTCTAGTGCTTGGTCCTCTATTTGGCGGTTTCGTACTCTATCTAAGGTGCAACACTTTCTTTAAAGATGTTATCGTCATGCTTTGCCAATTCGGGTTGCTTTGTTGGCTCGCAGGTGTACTGTCTCGCCTATTTTTCCTCGTTGTGATCATTTCCTTCAGGTGTGGAAGTTTTCTCCGCTGCATTTGGATTTTTCAGGTCGTTCTTTCTTTTCTTTACGGATTGGCTGGAGTTTTCTGCTGCGTCGGGCTATGCTCTCTTCGGACTTTGAGGATGTACTTAGTTTGATTTCTTTTTGTGTTTGGGGCATTTGGAAAGCAAGGAATCGGTTAGCCTTTGAAGGGATCTTATGGAGACCGGAGATTGTGGCTCAAAAAGCAGTATTCAGTTTTTGGGAATTCAAAGATGCTCGGTTTCTCTGCTCCTCCTTACAGCCAGGGCCCTCAATCACTTCAGTGGATTCTTGGTGTCCTCCCCCATCTGGTATTGTCAAATGTAATTTTAATGCTTCATTTTGTCGGAAGTCGTTGTTGGGTTTCCGTGATTTTAAAGGTGATGTTCTTCAAGCAGTTATTTTTTGTCCGTTTTTCGCTTCTTCTTCTTTGTAGGCGGAATCTATGGTATGTCAACGTGCTCCCCTTTGTGCTTTTGAATTAGGTTTCTCTTGCTTATGGTTTGAATTGGATGCCAAAGCTGCTATGGATGGGGTGTTGTGTGGTGAGTCTTGCCCAGCGAAAATTGCTTCTATTTGTTTTGATATCAATCGAGATCTTTGGTGATTTTCTTCTACTACTCTGACTTCTGTTCGTCGCCAAGGTAATAAGGTGGCTCATGCTTTAGCTGCTCTTTCACGTCCTGGGCTTGGATCGGATCAGTTTTTGCTGTCTCTTCTTCATTTCATTGTGCGTTTTGCTGAGGCGGATGTGAAGTGTTAGTTGTTTTTGTGTTGTTTTTGTTTTTGCTGTCTTGTATGTCTTTGCCAGGAAAAAAAAAAAAAAAAAAAAAAGCAATATAATATATATTAAAAAAAAATGATTACAAAACCAATGTTTGTATATGAGCATTGTCTTGTCCATTTAAAATTATTACATTATCTATTTAAATCTATTGCACTGTAAGACCAAAATTGTGAGTCAGTATTAATAAAAATTTGTAGTAAAATCTAACACATTAGAAAGAGAGTAGTGGAGAATTTGTAGTAAAGTCTACTGATTTCTACATTACATAGACGGAAACTGTTATACTTCTAGATCTTCGATTGCATCCTCGGATCATCTGACCTTGCACGAGGTACATATATGCATATGTTTATACACACATATATCACACGGGCGAAGTGCAGGAAATATCCCCAAAGTATACTCTGCATATTAATTTTACCCTTATTTTAAAAAGTGTATAAAAAACACCCCTAATTTTTCAAATTGTGCAAAAATACCCCTCAATAAAAAATCTGACATAAATTAGTGTTGTAATGCTCATTTTGCTCTTTTGTTCTTTCGAAAATGCCCAAGAAAGTATATGCTACTACTCTCATATATGGGTGTTATGTGCACATTACCTTATATATATATATTTTTGAAACTTTTTTCTCTATATATATTTCTAAACTTTTTTTAAAAAAAAACTCTAAGAATTTACAGAATAAGGATTTGAATTTTTTGATGTTTTAGTTTAGTGTTTTCTATTAAATTTCTTTTTCTTTATTTTTTATTTTATTTTCTTACCAACACTGTTAAAAAATTAAAAAAAATCCCAATATCATTGTGCACTAGTTTTTTCAGCTTAGAGCAGTTTTGTTTTCTTTAGTTTGCACTTTATTTTTATTTTTTATTTTTATTTTTATCTTTACTTTTCTTTATATTTATATTTATATTTAATTTAATTTTAGTATCTTCTAAATCGCCCCAAGTCAGTTGAGGCGATTAGGTCAATTCCGGTGATAACAAGCCTCTGCAAAAGGCGAACCAGCTATTGGAGTGGTTCAATTTGGTGGTCTGGTGGGCGTGGCGGTGGCTGGGTGAAAGACGACGGCAAATCCCAAGCACTATGGGCTCGGCGAGTAGCTTGTCCATCCCTTTGGGATAACGGTAAGAGTCTCTCCCTCACCGATGATGTAATTCTCGAAAGTACGAAGTTTTAACTACAACATTTGATGCGTTAGTTTTGTTCAGTTTTAGTCTCGTGTAATGGCTACCGATGCTGTGGTCCCTTACTCCTATAAGCATATATGTCTTGACTCGTGTGACTAATGTTTGTGATGTATGAATACCAATCATATATAATCCCTCCGTCCCACAAAAAATGTCCGTCTTTAACTATTGTATTCTATGCATTGCTGCCAACTCCATCCATAACACAGATCTCTCAACAAGCCCAAGAGAATAACTTTTTAATCCTTTGATTTCGTAAAATAATCAATGATTCAACCAATGAAGGAATTCTCTTGGGCTTGTTGAGAGATCTGTGTTATGATGGAGTTGGCATCAATGCATAGAATACAATAGCTATTTGGTAACAAGTCATCAATGGTTTGTAACAAATTGGAGTTTGCAGCAATACTGGAATGATAGGATACAATAACTAAATGGTACGAGTAATCAATTGATCCGTGAAAAATTGGTTATATTTTTTAAACTTCAAGGAAGTGAAATTGGAAACAATCATCTTTCCCTGTAGATTTTGTTTCAAGAGCGGTTTTTAGCTTCAAAAGTTATATTTTTGAATGGAACAAAAGCACCAATTTCCTACCCTTGTCATTCTTTTTTAACTTTGCTGCTTCCTTGAATAAGGGATTGATAATATCTTAAAATCCTTTTTTATTTCAATGTTTCTTAAACTTGGTTAATCAAAAGTAAATTCAAGTGCCAAAATTCTATGCCATCTTAATTGAATAGAACATATAGCTTGTGAACACTGACACACTGGTAAAAATGAAGAGTGCTGAAGAGACGGATTTTTTTTTTTTTTTTTTTTTTTTTTTTTCAGTTTGGAGTGCCTTGGTAAAACACAGCTGGGGGCATCGTAGGAGGAGAGGGAGGAGAGAAAAAAAAAAAAAAAAAAAAAAAAAAAGTTTAATAAGGGTAGACGTGTCAATAAAGGACATTAAATTCCAAAAGGTCGCTTATTAACAAACAATTATTAAACTAAAATACGTAGAAAGTGGAATTCTATCCGGATTAGGGAAAAAAAAGGGAAAGAAAAGAAGAGGAATTAGGATTTCCAAATATTGCTCTCTATAACTAGGGTTTATTTCTTCATGGACTTGAAACCATAATTTACTGTTTTTTTTGTTAATTTGCTCATCTTAATTTTCTTCTTTTGTACGATATTCCTCGGCTGGTAGGATTGAGCACCCCGCATGGACATGGCTAATAATATTAATCCAGTAGTCCCTTGGTCCGACCTTCCACAAGAACTGGTGGAGTTGATCATGGCACATGTCACCACAACCTTCGATCTTCTACGATGTCGCGGTGTATGTCATTCATGGCGATCTGCTGTACTGAACGTGCTATCACTCGGCGTTACTTCTACTACTCCGTTACTACTCCTCTACAATAGGCTTGACCTATGCAATTCTCCCGCCAAACTCTTGTGTCTTGGTAAAAACACCACCACCAAGTATAGGCTCCGTTCACCCAACATGAAGAGGTTGTCGTACAAGGATGGTGTGATATTCAATAGGACTTCTCCCGATTTGGTAAAGTCCATGGAGAAGCACTGGATGGCAGACGACGAAGGCATCGAGGAGGAGGCTGATTCCGGCAATGGTGGTGGTGGTGGTGCAGTTCCCAAAAGGACTAGATGTATTGCTCCCTGTCGTGGATGGCTACTATTGTATCCTTATTATGAGAGTTCACTATATCTCTTCAATCCTCTTTCAAGAATGGTTGTCCATCTTCCACCGCCGCCGGAATTAAAAATGGTCACTAATCCAGATGTGCTTAGATTCATCATATCATCCATTCCAACTGATCCAACTTGCATGGTCTACTTATATACCCCGAATCAGATTGCTGTTTATAAACTTGGTGACAGGAAATGGACGCCTGTTTTCGCTAGTAATCATCATGAATGGGTTTCCGTCATATTTTACCATGGTAACTTCTACTCGATTGATGAGCTTGGTGTGCTCCGACGTTTCTTGTTGGATAAATCTTATTCTAATTACAAGGAGGAAGAGGTATGCAATGGTACTTGTAATGTCAACCAATACAGGTACTTGGTGGAGGGGTCGTGGTCTGGTGAATTGTTGATGGTTGTGAGGATTTATGAACATCATATATGCAGAACCAAAACCAAGTCGTTTGAGATTTTTAAGTTAAATTGGAGTAATGGTAAATGGGAAGAGGTGAGTAATTTGGGTCATCGAGCTCTATTCTTGACTACTAATGATTCGAAATTCGTTTCAGTTAGATATAATCCTGAATATACACCCAATTCAATCTATTTCATTGAAGATACAAATACAAGGATGAAAGATTTCGGAGTGTATGATTTGGCAACACACAACATAAAGCCATTACATCCATCTCAAAATCATATGCGACGAGCTGTATATTATCGTTGGTTTCAACCGGTCCCATAAACTAGCCCTATAATCTATATTGCTTAATGTGCGTCCTTTATTTATTTATTTTTCTTAAATGTAATATTTTATATACATACTCATTAAGTTTGATGTTTAGAATTCTTCTACGATTGATATTTTTCAATTTAAAATTTGGCATGTTTAATAACTACTTCTCCCAGTTTAAAATACTTATCCCAACAATTAAGTATTATGTGTAGCCAATACAAGCCATAACAAGATTTGATTTGATTTGATTTATTATGTTTGTTTATGATATTAATCTCAATGAACTTTAATTTATTCTTCAGAGCCCAATTTGCTAAATGATGAGCATTTTCTTCTACCATAGGATCCAACAACGGTAGTAAATGGGCCTTTTGCAATAACCTCAGCGACAACCTCACCTCAAAGATGGACCTTATCAAAAAAATTCCAATACGAAACTATTAACAAGGCCCGATAGGTTTGCAAAAAAAAAAAAGTTTTGGGCCAAACAATGGAAAAGCACTATCACAGCAATTACTAAGGCCCATTTTAAATAACCCTAGTTTCGAAGCCCAAACGGCAATCGCATTGTTTTGTATGTATCTCGATTAATCTCAACAATTAGCTAGCATGCAAGGGAGAGTTTGGGAATCTGGGATATAGCCAGATATATAATATTAAAAAATTTGTTCAACTACAATTATTATTGGTTTGGATTTCAAATATTCTTTTCTTTTCGGTTGGTTATTTTGAATAATTTTTTCAATTTTCACCTCGTTACCAGAAGAGAAAATAAAAAAATTGAAAATAAAAATTCTAAGTTAAATAGATAATTGATTGAAGAATGTAAGAGTAAAAAAGACTGACGTATGACTTTTATGAATTTAGAAAGAAATAATATTTGCTGAGCCCTACAAAGAAAATAAATTATATTCATTTAATAAAAATGATGAATTATTAAATTTAATAATATAATTATTTATATTCATTTATATTGTTTAAATTAAAACAATACTTCAAGACTTCTTAGGTAGAAATAGAACTAACTGTTTGAAGATACCTTGAATTAGGTATCCAAGGGGTTTATGTTATGAGAACCTCTTTCGTGGTTTTCTTATGTGAGCTTTCTCCTTGAGTAGGAGTCCGAAGCAAATCAGAGAGATGCTCCAAAGCTGGATACTGATCATCAGTGAGTGGTATAACCACTTTGGCTTTTGCCCTGCCTTTGCCACGGCCTTTTGTGGTATTACCACGGCCTTGTCCATGATGGGGCTGATTCATGAACCCTGTAAAAATTCACGAGTTAAGAAATCTGTTAAAGAATTAGAACTGCCTTTAATATATTCAATTGAAAAATCAAAAGCAGATAAATCAGCTTGCCAACCAGCAAATATCTGTTTGGAAACTTATTTTTTTACATCTTTTTCCAGTTCTTGTTTAGCAGCACTACAATCAATGCGTAACAAGAATTTCTGATTGATTAAATCATCTTGGAATTTATAAATGCATTTAACTAAAGAAAGAATTTCTTTCTTAATAGTGGAATAATTTAATTGTGCATTTTTCCAAGCTCCTGAAGTGAAGCGAACAAGCTCCTCTGTTCCTGTATCTGGATTCTTTTGTTTAAGAATACCACCATATCCAATATTGGATGCATCTGTCTCAACAATTTTAAACCATGAAGAATTTGCTAGGGCTAAGCAAGGAATCTGTTTAGCACGAAGTTTAATCTTCTGGACGGCTCTCGTATGTTCTTCAGTCCAAGGGGAAGGTGACTTCCTGAGCCGTGTATATAAAATTGCTGTATCCTGTGCAAGGTTCTTGTAATGGTTACGAATATAATTCAAGCTACCAAGAAATCTTTGCAGTTGAGTTTTGTCCTTAATTTCATCAGGGAATTTAGAGGTAAACTCAATACTTCTGTCAATGGGTTTTATTTTTCCATCATAAATTTCATGACCAAGAAATCTTACTTGGGTGAGGAAATTTTTTAGTTTAGGAACAGACACTACTAAACCACTTCGGTAAATAACATCTTTGAAGATTTTCAAATGTTTATAATGTTGTTCTATTGATTTTGAAAATATTAAAATATCATCAATATAAACAATAGAAAATTCAGTATAAGGATTAAAATGTCATTCAAAATATGTTGAAATTCTGAAGGGGCATTTTTAAACCAAAGGGCATTACTGTCCATTCATACTGTCCAAAGGGTACACAAAAAGCAGTTTTATAGCGATCCTTTTTTGCAATCTGTACCTGGTAATATGCTGATTTAAGATCAAATTTAGAAAAAATTACAGTAGATTGTAATCTATCTAACAGATCTTTAATGTTTGGAATTGGATATCGAATCCAGCTCAAAGCAAGGTTGAGTGGTCGATAGTCAATAACCAGTCGAGGAACTCCTCGTTCTTTTTTTTCAGAGTTTTTATTAACATAAAAAGCTATGCAACTCCATGGGGAGTAACTTGCTGTAACTAGCTTCTTTTCCATTTAAGAGCTAATTTTAGTTTTGCACAATTCCAAATAGTCAGCCTTCATATGGCTGGAACTAGCTTTGGAAGGGATCACCAGATCGGTAAATCTTTTTTCGTAAGGCAAAGAAACAATATGCTTCTTTCTGTCCCAAAAAGCATTAGGAACATCACTGCAGATATCCTTTAGAAAACTTTGTCGTATTAACTCAATTTTCTGTTGCTCAGTGGGATGTACCAATCTTTAACTGATTGCTTAGGAAAAGACTTCCTTTTGCAAATAATTCAGTTACTTTTCTTTAAAGATAATGTTATCTTTAAGAGCACTGATATGCTTATTCAAGGGTTTGGTCAAAAACTCAAATGCTATCTGTAGAGTTGAACATATACCATAAGAATCAATTTTCTCAATTGGCATAATCAAGGCTAAAAAGGGAGTGCCCAAAATAACCTGTTGTGCCATGTTTTTAATAGGTAAAAAGGTAAATGGTAGACAAATACCTTGTTTACAAATAAAAACGTGATTAAGCTTATACTTAATCTGCATCCTTATTCATAAAATAGAATAAACTATTGTGGCTGCAGATAACCCACTACTATACAATCATTCAAGATAGTATATCAAAATATCTTGAACATGATCCAATCCCAGTCAGAATTTGTCTTCTCCATTAAAAATTAAAAATAAAAAAGTCTGCATTGGAGTTGGACATTAATCATTATATAGTAACTGTTTCCAATTAATAGAAAATAAATAAAGTAAGCATAAGATTGCTAGCTACTTAGATGCCTTCAGTCCACCTTAAAGCAAATCTTCTATCTAGACTTCCTCTCTGTGTAGAGGTTTCCTGTTTTTTCAGGATTGGGGAGCTTCCGGTGTCCTGTTATTTTGTGGGTTGTGTGCTTGTTGGGTTCTTCATTGCTGTTGTACCTCGTCCCGTTGGGCTTGGGGTGGAGATGATTGCTTCTTTTGCTCTATGTTCGGTGCTTTACTTTCCGGTGATTCTTGTTGATTCTTGGGTTTGGGCTTGGCACTTTATGTTGTTACGCGGCTTTGATCAGTGTTCTGCGTTATTTGGGGACGATTTGGGTGCTGTTGATTGCACTGGGGGTTTGGTTGGTTGTTTTTTTTACTTGTGATTGGTTGTGGTTCCAACGCTGGTAGTTCCGTCGTTGCTTTCAGTTCCGGCGTTGGTGGGTTGGTGGTGCTGCTTCTATGGTTGCAAGTGTGGCTACGTGGTGCGTTGTGGCCCATCTATTTGGTGTTGTATTTGTTTGTGGGCCGGTTGTTTGGTGGATTGGGCTTCTGTCCGTTGGGCCTTACAGGTTCTGCATTATATTTTGTTGTTGGCTTCCAGTCCATTTGCAAGGCCGGAATTCTGTTGTCTGCTATCTTCAGTGTTGGGCCAAGAGTTATGACATCCGGCCGGGGTTCACTTTTCAGGCATCAATCTGATGCTTGTTCTAATTGGTTGCTTGCTTCTGCTTGTTCTTTTCCTTCCCATTCTGCAGCTCCACCTTTCTATTTCTCTGATTGCCATAATGATTTTCCCAATATTATTGCTTGGAATTGTCAAGGTCTGGGGTCTGTTTCTACGATTCAGCAAATTAAACGTTTACAATCTCAATATTCGCCCAATATTTTTGGTGTTATTGAAACAAAAAATTGGAAGCGGACAGTGCTTGTTCAAAAAATGTTGGGTTTTCCTCATGGTTGTTTGGTGGAGCCTGTTGGGCTTGCGGGTGGTCTTGGCCTTTGGTGGAATGATAATGTTCAGTGAAGGGTGGTCGATAAAAACTGTTTTTCTATTACTGTTGTTGTTCTATCCCCTAAATAGTAACCTTGGTATTTTTCCCTTTTATATGCTAATATTGTGGATAGGAAAAGAGCTGTGCAATGGAAATATTTTATTAACAGTGCACGTTATTGGTCGGGTAGGTGGGTCCTCATTGGTGATTTTAATAATATTTTACATAGTTCTGAGAAACATGGGGGGGAAGTTAAGCAAGGGTGGCAGCTTCGTTCCTTTCGTACTCTCCTTGATTGTTGTGCTTTGTTGGATATTAGTTATGTCGGTTTTTCTTTGACCTGGTCTAATCAGCGCGATGGGTTAGCTAATATACAGGAACGATTGGATCACGCTTTGGCGACTATAGATTGGCTATCGGCTTTTCCTCGGGCTCAATTATCTCATCTTTCTTTGGTGGGATCTGATCACTATGCCTTATTTCTTCAAATTTTGCCTGTGGTTTGGCCTCGGAAACGGCAATTTCACTTTGATGCTCGATGGACATTGTTGGACGATTGTAGGCAAATTGTTGATTTGGCTTGGTCTACTCCGATTGCTGGATCTTATCAATTTCAATGGGCTCAGAAATTGCGTCACTGTAAAGCCGATCTTATTCATTGGGCTAAGCTCCGCAATCTTAACTCACGAGCTCGTCTTAATAGTTGCTCGGTTCCATGAGTTGAAAGCTCGCACTTCAAATTACTGTCATGCGGAGGTGGTTAAATTAGAAAATTACTTAACTTTTTATTGATTAGAGGAG